ATGTGTCAGCATGTGGTATCTGACATGCAAAAATTCTTCTTTGGAAATTCCATGATGTCACCCATGTTGAAGTCACAGGATGTAGCTAACTGTGGTGAAGGTGTAGGACCCAACTGAAGGAAATAGCAAGTACATTCTGTACAGAAAATTTCTTGAAAAGCATAACAGTTTTGGCCTCCATAGCAGTTAAGGTATAAAATATTCTGTGTTATTTATTCCTGTTCAGGCAAAAATCACTAATCAGTGATGATGTGGAGAACTGTAGTTTCCCTGGAAGGAATCTTGTTTCCTTAGGGTTCATGTTCTTTCTCTCTCTTTCTTTTCATCTTTTTTCCTTCTTTCCCAATAAAACATAAGCATACTAAACCAGAGGGAAATGGGAGAAAAGGACTTGAAGGTCTCAGTCTTACATAGCATGGAAGATGCTTACTTAAGATCTGTCATTTTGTCACCTGCACCCCTTCTTGCCATCAGCTTTATCCTGTGCCACCTTTATGGAGTAACTGGTAATGATGAAATTGTATGTGAGATGTACGTTATGGAAGGGCTGGTAGAAAGCAAAAAATCGCTGAGTAATTCCAAAGCCAGTTTCTAGGCTGTTTTAGGTTTCCCTGTTACAGTGAACACAGAAAAGTCCCATGAGGCAAGCGTTAAGGGGAGTTTCATGCTTTCAGGCGGTAGGGATGGACACCCCAGAAGAAGCCCTCCTGCCTTTCAGGAGGAAGCAGAGGGAGTTGGGTTGGTTGAGGAGCTGGACATGTTTGCACAGGGCACGGTCCTCCTCTGGAATCGAAGTTTGAAACTGAACCCAGTGTTGTTGATTGGTTTTGTAGGACTGAAAGTAATTCCCCGCCCCCAGCCCACAATTTCCGAAAACTCCTCTTTCCTTGCAGTGAGGACTTTATGAGATGTAATGAGATGATTTGAGTGTTGAGGTTGGCGTATAGGGAATGTGCCTTCATATTTATTTTTTCCTCCATTGTATTCCTTTCTCTTCTCTCCTCAGCCTTGTTGCTGCAGAGCAACTGAGGATTTCAGTGGCATGGGGAATTCCTGGAAATCTAAGTTTGTTAGCATTGTTGGCTGAATGCTGAGTAATTTGATTTGTAGAGTTTTTAACAAAGCTTTGCTTCCTAGTTTGGGTATGTGGCCTGGTAGGAATCCTGACAGAAAACTTAATAAACCCTCAAATCCAGAAAGAAAAACACATTATAAAAGAGAGACTGGAATTCTAAGACTTATTATTGTCAGTGGATAGAGGAGGAAGAATTTTTTTTTCTAATTCTTTTTGTAATAAAATGAATGGTTTATTAATGTAGTGTTTCTAATTTCTCTTATTTGTGAGGGCTGCTTTGTGTCTGGTTGAGAGGGATGTGAATCTTGCTGAAGTAGATACTAACAAAATGTGTGCCCAGATCTGAGTTTCTTGGAATATGTCAAACTCTTAGTGGATCAGTGAAAGAGTTCCCTACCTGACGTCCTGTGTATTTTAACAGTATGCTGTAGTGTGTTCTTCAAAGTAATTTATCTCTGCGTGGAGAGGTCAAATCACTGTTTGTACCTGTTTAGTGCTGCTGATCTTTATTTTGCTTGGCAGCAAGCACATTTGATTAATGTTTTAGTTCAATTTTTTTTTTTTTTTTTTTTACCTGTGTGATAGTATTATCCCTGTTACTGCTTTCCTCTTCATGTACTTAAGTGTAGGTTTCTCACTGCATGACCCTCCTGGAGTACTGAGAAAAAGAGCACTAAAAGTTGAAAAGAATGCATTTAAATTAAACACTACAGAAAAACATAATGTAAATTAATATTTTCTTCTACAGAAATTAAGATACTGTATAAGATATAGATGATGTTGAAATGTTTACCTTAACAAATGGCACATACCATATAACAAAAATACGCATGTATGACTTTTGTCCTCAGCATCTGTATAATGTGCTTGATTTCTTATAGCTACATTATTATCTATATAAAATGGGAAAATGCTAGTATAAAAGGTTTAACTGAAAACCAAAGGCTGCAGGGATCAGGGACCTTTCCTTATTTAGGACTCCGTGCAGCAGAACTTAATAGGAAGCTAAAAAAGGAAGCCTCTACAAGGTTCCTTCTGCTGAGATTTTACCCATTATATTTCTGCATATTCCTGCATAGTGTGCACTGAGGTGGTGTGTAGGAGCTGGCTGCAGTCCAAAGACCAAGTCATCCTCAGAGGACTGCCTACCTCCCCATTACTGCTCCCAGATTAAACTTGGCAAATTAGTTCCACTAGATCCCCCACAGTCTTCCCTTTCAAAGGAAGGAACTTGCATTTGGAGAGTTTTCCAAGATAATAAGGTAGCTTTAAACTCTGTTGTATCTTCCGTGATAACTCTGCTGGCTTACGTGCAGGCTACATCTTCTTTCCTGTGGACTGCCACGCCCATGCTAAATTTTTCCATTGCTCCCCTCTTGTTTGGGTCATGTACCTTTTCTTGCAACACTGAAGGCAATAGAGCCTGGGTGTCTGGTAAAGGGGAAAGGATATCAGAGGTGGTTGTTTAGATCTGAAGTTGGAGAAGGGGAAGTCAATGGGACAACATCCGTCTTCCCTGCCCATGTACTGCGTATGCAACAAACCCTGCAGACAGTGGTCAGATAAAGTTATTGGACGTGAATAGATTGATAGGTTTAGAGTGCACAGCAGTTATTACCTTGCTAGCGATAGCAATTCTAGTGGTAGGCTGCTTATCACAAATACTCATATTAAATAACTGAGATAATCTCTCTCAGGATTAAGCAATGTTAGCTTTTACAGGTAATGAAGCTAATGTAGGTAAGAATACAAAAAGTAATACTGGATGAAATTGTGGTGGAAAATGTTGGTTCTATTAAATCAATTATGCAAATACAAACCCATTTTCAGTAAAACCTAATCAGTTGTCAAAAATATGAGAAAAATATATCTATCTGAAGAAATAAAACTGTCTTCAATACAATCTAATCAACTGCCAGAAATGAAACATCTCTAATTTGATTAAAATGTCCCCGTTGACCATAGTTATTTTCTCTTGTCATAAATAGGAGGTTCTCAAGACAGAATGATAGCTTTTCTTACTGAATATCACTTTTAGCTTTTGTAGTTACTGCCCTTTTTCTGGCACTGACATAGATTCACTGCTGTTTGAGGGCCGATGAGCTTTGCACTTGGCCAACATTATTCACGTTAATGTTGCTTTTTCCGTACCAATCTCTACGCTTCTTTTAAGTGTTTTTATTTGTTCAATCAAAGTTTCTAGATGTTGCCTCTTCTAACTTATCCTTTATTCTAACTTGAGGAGACGAAGAGCATAGGAGTCTCTTCTGGTTCAATTTCAAAAAGACAAGGCAGCTGCCAGGTAGTCTGTTGCGCAGTTGTTTTAGTTGGATAACCTTACTTGCTCATAATATAGCTACATATACTCAAATCATTCGCCAAGAAGAGCCTGAGAGCAATGAAAGCATGCTCTTGGGACTAAGGCGTCTTTCTTCCTGAATTTCTTTGTCTAGGAATGACACTCATATATGTGAGATAGGATAAAAAAGATGTGTATCATTGGATCATTGGGTGAGTGTATCTTTCTTTATATGCTGCTGCTCCTAGCTACTCTATTTCTTTGGGTTTTTTTGGTGGGTTTGGGTTTTTTTTTTTTCCTCCCTTCCCCGCTTATGACATTTTGCTCCTTTTTCTGTCCTCTCCTAGCTGCCAGCATCTTCCTCCTTAGCACTCTTTCCATTACTGTGTCAGTCTCTTCTGGTCTGAATTTTTCCTTTGCTCTTTTTGTAATCTGACCCTTGTAAATGCCACGTTGCTAGGCATATAAAGAGATTCCACTTATGGTCTAAAAGTAGCTTTCTAGTCTAAACTTGTCATCTAGGCAACCTCTGTAATCAATAGCAAAAGATAAATACCACAAGAAGGCAATTCATCACATTTTAAGATTATGTTGAAACTGGAGGGATTAATTGCTTGTCTGGACCACCTGTCTCTTTCTGCTGATTAAAGAGAGAGCCCTAGATGACAATCTCAGATGAGGTACCTGAATTCCAGATGGCTAAAATTAGACGAAAAGTATCCTACCTTTGGTGCAAGGAGTGGTGTTGCTAATTCATTGCCTTTGTAAGGTCTGCCCTAGGGAGGTAGAAACTGCATAAAATCGGAATGAGATGGCACCCACCGTTTGATCCTTTTTTTTTTTTTTCTTCCTGAACTGATTTGCAATGGTGCCAACAGTTATATTTGATTTTAAGTTGTGACTTCAGTAATGTTGTGACATTCTAGAAATCAAAGCCCTACTGTTTTGTTAGAATAGTTAATATTTATATAGCTCTCATGTGAATTTCTCACCAAACTGCAGAACCCATTTAATTTTTGACATGGGGAGTTAGAAGCTTCAGAACATTTCTGACAAGGCCACACAGCACTGTACAACAACGTAATTGGATACAAGCCCAGTTACCTGAATCCCATTTTAAAATTGTAGGGAACTAAGTTTACTGATAGGTAGTATCTGCTATTGCAGTGGTTGTTACTGAAACAGAAACATCCCCACGCAATGTGTCCAGTACCATTTGATCATAAACAATCAATAATTTTTTATTATCAGCGCTGCATATAAGCATTTGGAATTATAAAAATAAAATTTGGAAATAAGTATAAAACTATTTATGGACAAATATTGTATGGAAAGGTTTTGAGCAAAACTGTATGTAAGAAAATATTTATCAGTTACAATTATTTCAATAATAAAACTGGTATTTATGCTTCTGTGTTTGTTCTTCTTTTAACAGTGCTGTAACTCACCACTGAACCAACACATTGGGAACAGTTCATAGCATCAAAAACTTCATCCACATAGACTGATGCCATCTCTCCAGTCTCCAGGCACTGTGAACTGAAGCTACGAATCTTTATGGAGTTTATATCACCTGGGTCAAAGGGAATGTTTTTCTGATATGTAACGAGGACCCTTACTGCCAGTATGTCGAGCCAGGAGAAGTGGGTTAACCTTAGTCCTGGAGAGTTCTCTCAGCTTCAGAAATATGCAGAATGTAAGTAATTTTTAAAATATGTGATTTTATGGCTAATTAAAAATTAAGAATATTTTTGAATGGAGAATACAGTGTTGTAATATTATTGAAATTATTCACTGTCAAGTAAGAGGCTAAATTATGGTTTATGTTTTTTAATCCAAAAGATATGTTCTTAGGAGGGGAAAAAAAATCAGTTGGGGTCTGTAACTTTTTTTTTTTACTGAACAATTATTATCCAATATGGTACCATGTAGACTGACTATGGGTTATGTGACTATGGGTGTTTGGAGAGTGTATTTTCATGGCTTTGCCACCTTAAATTCACCATAACAATTTGTAGGCCACTAGAGTGGGGTTTGTAGTTAAAAAGAAGGCTTGCTCAATCATGGAGGAAACACAGAGATTCCAGGAGAAACACATCTAAGGTGTTCAATATGAAGGTGTTTCTAATACCATAAACAGTGCGAAGGAGGAGTTGTCCTGTGAAAGGGCAGGAAACAAAAAAACTCTCTAAGCTGAAGATTGAGTTCTTTATAGTTATTGCTCAGGCAAAACCTCCTTTAAGTTGCCTGAGCAACTTAAATGGCTCGGAATTACGTGCTTAAAGGACAGATACTGAGCATGAGAAGTTAGATTTGGGAGGCGGTTTATGAAGCCTGGTAAGAACTGGACTGGAAAAGGTCAAGAATGTTTAGGAGTTTTCCTGTATGACAAGTAATCTAAATTTGTGTTTTTAAAAACTGAGAAAATCTCATATGATTTATGAATGTTGTTGATATATTACTGAAGGAAACATTTGCATGTAAGGTAAAATGAAGACTGCTGATTGTTTTTTTTTGTTTGTTTTTTTGTGCTTATGACATCACAGTATATACTTAATTGTATTTCAGTGTAGTCGTCTAACAGAATAATTATAAAATGATTATTAGAGTTACCTTTAATAGTACATTCCACTGGAATGTGATAGAGCTTCATAATATTTTCATGATATCAAGTTAAGCCATGAATGATACTTTATATAATGCAATGTCATTGAACCAAAAAAAAAAAAATCCAGTAGAAGTATTTACATGATGCTTTCTGGAACAGATGTATTTGAGTCTCACAGTTTTCTACAATTGCTGTATAGTTTAGAGTATTCTATTTATTAAGAAAGTATGTTTCCACCCCATGCCACCTTCTTGTCTCAAAGGATAAGCTATAGAGATGAACTAAATTTGCTCCACATACTACTTTAAATCCTTAATGATGTTACCAGGTAAGGAGCTATTTTGTTTCTCATTTCATAGTGGAACATAAGACATTGATACCTGTCTGGTATTTAATCAGTTACTACCTCCTCCTTAAAAGAAGGTCTTAAAGATATAGTATGAGTCTGAGAAATTAAAATATCCATGCTTTTTAGTAGTTCTTTGATTTGTATGTAATGCACAGAAACATTAAATAAAGGGAAACAAGATGCAAGTACATGGAGCTTACAAAGAACACATCCAAATTTTGTATTGATATTCTGTTGCCTTCAGAGACCATTGCAAAGAAAATTTTGTATTTCACGTTTGATATGAATAAGCGTGTTTCTTTTAAATTATATCACCAAATGGATAGTAAACATTGTGTAGCAGTTTAAAAAAAAAAAAAGACTTCTGAAAATATTTACTTCTTCCTGGGAAAATATTTTAAAATGTTTCTTCATTAATTTTTTCAACAGCAGAAATTTAAGACTTCTAATAGAGAACAATTATGTTCTTCTTTGTCTATGCATTCTTATAATTTAAGCCTTTGATGCAGTGAGTGCCAAAGTATTTATAGTCTTCCTTATGGGAAAAAAGGGCATTTAACATATTTCTTTTCTTTCTGCTTCCCTTTGCTCCTCCAGCACTTCTTGCACACACCATAGTTAAGATCCATTGCTTTAACAGAACTATTGATATCAGGATAAAGTATTTGGTGAAATTGGTTGTATTTGTTTGTGTTCAGGTTTGTGTGTGTATATGAAAGAAAGACATGGTGTCTTTCAAGCTTCCTCTCCTTGTCTGGAATAGAAGGATGTTATTTTTTCGAAAATGTGAAATGCGATGCATCTTTGTATAAATAGTTCAATTTCTGAGGGCAATTAGGAAAAAAAAATTGTTAATGGTATATAGACTTTGATATATAATGCCAAGGGAATATAACCCAGCTATGGGCCTTATTTTGAATTTCTGAGCTGTCCAATTTAATTTTGCTAAATGACTGTAAATGACTGAATAACAGTATCTTTAAATGTGTGATTTAAGATTTTAAAATGCAATTTTAAAAAAATAAATATTTAATTGGATCCAACATTTTTGAATTTGATACAATTTTGTCTAACATGCAGAGGTATGAAATGTTGTGACAGTAGTTGCCTTTACTCATGACTATATAGTAACCAAATCATGTGGAATTTTATGAAGTTTGAGTATATAATTGCTTTGATGTTTCCTTGTCTTTGTTGAACAGGCCAAGATAGTGAACTGAAAAATTACCGAATTTCTAGTAGAGTTTGGCTGGCTTGTGTTTTTTTGTGGGGGTGTTGTGTTGTTGTTTTGTGTGTGTGTGTTTGTTTGTTTTTTAAATAAATCAAAGGCATTGCACACTTCTCTCCGGTATGTGACTTGAGGTACCAGTGGGTCTCCTGCAGGAAGGAGAGATGATCTGGGTGTCAGAAGGCAGTACTGTAGGGAGGGCTGACTTTGTGGCAGTTGCCTGCCAACAAGTGTTGGTGATGAGCCCCAGCCTTGCCTTGTGCTAAGGAGCAGGTTTCACTGAAGGACTCTGGCATAGAGTAGGGAATTTGTAGTGAAGTGATTTGTTTTCCACTTACCTGGTGATATGTATCATTTGCTTTACCTTTCATTCAGTTTGGTGTATAGACTTTACTTCGTAAATCTTACGTAAATTAGAATGTTACTTTAACTATGGAAATTTTTAACAGATACGCTTTCTTGAATTTACAGATACAATATTTATAATCCCTATTTTAGTTTGAATCAGGCCTGAAGTGAGTACTGGAACAAAGAGTGTAGTCTCCCAAAAACCTGTCTACCTTGGATGTCAGTGACTTTGGCTCATACTCTTAGTAGCTGATGGTCAAATCTACTTAATGAGGTCACTGAAATCAGAATTACTCTTGTACAACTGTCGTGGGTTCACCTTGATTGGATGCCAGGTGCCCACCAAGCTGTTTTATTACTCCTCACTCTCTTCCCCTGCTCCAGCGTGGGGTCCCTCCCATGGGAGACAGTCCTCCAAGAACTTCTCCAACATGGGTACTTCCCACAGGCTGCAGTTCTTCATGAACTGCTCCAGTGTGCGTCCTTTCCATGGGGTGCAGTCCTTCAGGAGCAGACTGTTCCAGCGTGGGTCCCCCACAGGGTCACAAGTCCTGCCAGCAAACCTGCTCCAGTGTGGGCTTCTCTCTCCACAGGTCCTCAGGTCCTGTCAGGAGTCTGCTCCAGTGCGGGCTCTCCATGTGGTCATAGCCCTCTTTGAGTGCATCCACCTGTGCTGGTGTGGGGTCTTCCATGGGCTGCAGGTGGATATCTGCTCCACTGTGGACCTCCGTGGGCTGCAGGGGCACAGCCTGCCTCACCATGGTCTTCACCACGGGCTGTAGGGGAATCTCTGCTCTGGTATCTGGAGCACCTCCTCTCCCTCCTTCTTCACTGACCTTGGTGTCTGTAGAGTTCGCATATTCTCACTCCTCTCTCTCAGCTGCTGTTGTGCAGCAGTTTTTTCCCCTTCTTAATAGTCACAGAGGCACTACCACCATCACTGATGGACTCGGCTTTGGCCAGCAGCGGGTCCATCTTGGAGCCGGCTGGCATTGGCTCCATCAGACATGGGGGAAGCTTCTGACATCTTTTCACAGAAGCCACCCCTGTAGCCCCCCTGCTACCAAAACCTTGCCATGCAAACCCAATACAGCAGTAAGCTGAAATATGAAAAGAACTGTTCTTTTAAGTTCATTATACAAACATACATGGATTATTTTTTAATCTGTGTCTATTTATGCATGTAATTGATAGTAAGATATGCATAAGACTGAAAGAAAATAGTACAGCCCTTCAAACAATAAGACTTACAAAAAGAGATTTTTCTGATGTATTAGTGTACACATGTTTTGGTGTGCAAATAAAAAGTAGTAATACTGAATGGTGAAGATTTAATTAAAAGAAAACATAAAGACATTCTTAAGCAAACTGTTAGAGAGGAGTGTACTAGACTGACCTGAGCTCGGTGGGTAGAATTCAGAGTTCACACACCTCTATATCATATTGCTATGCTCAAATACTAAGTGTTGATGATTCAGAGCATCTATTCTTGTTGATGCAAAACAGATACCTTCAGTAGATGAGCCCAAAGAGGGGGTGTGCTGAGGTGCCTTGTGCTAACCAGTAGGAAACTTTAAGCACAGGGTGTATTTCAATTTCTGCTTCTCTTTGGAGTCTAAGTAAGTTTGGTTAAGAAAGTTTGCTCATTTATTTTCAGGAGAGGAGTTGGTGTTCTGCATTTCGTGTGCCTATCCACCCAGAAAATATTCTCTTTAAAGTGCATTTGCCAGTGTTTTGCATTTTTGCTTTGTGGTCAGAAAAAACCCTCACAGAGTTGCCTTTTGAAGCTGAATCTCCTCAACGTAAGCTGGCTGCAGAGTAAGATAGTGTTTTGCTTGTGTGACACCCCCAGCTGCTGCCCTCCACACACGCACACACCACCTTTCTGGTCTGATAGCCTTAGTTTTGATCCAGTATTGGAAGGCGTGGTAACCCAGACTGTTCTACTGCATGGCAGACAGGGCACACTTTGTAGGAGTTGAGAGATTTCAGTTTGAGTCTTTTGAGGTTGAACCTTGGTCTTGAATGCATATCCTCAGTCTTTTCCCTAACCAGAAGGCAAGCCTGTCTCACTTCCACCTGTTTTATGAAGATGACTGTTGCTGCCAGACTTTGCTGAAATCAGTCACATCTGCAAGTATTATGGTTTCTGTGAATAGGAGA